TATACACACACATATATATATTATTATATATATATATATATATATATATATATATATATATATATACATAAATATAATATATATAAATATATATTTATTTATTGAAAAACAGAATTTAGAGAAACATACCCCAGCACGCACAGCGACATGTTGTATTTGGCAATGGAGTACGCAACGTGAGGCTTGAACCACTTTTCTTCGAAGTTTAAGGGCGGAGAGAGATTCAGAATGTGCGGGTTGGTCCCTTCGAGAAGATACGGCAGGCACTTCTGAGAAACCATATACGTTCCCCGGCCGTTGATACTGTATGCAGAGACAGGCATGATTCAGATGTTGGTACGAATATGTTTTTATATATTCTACATGAAAGCCTTTGGTTTGGGAGACCTTTTTTATACTTGCCTATTAAAAGGTTGGTGAGTGGAGTATAAATTACAGATTAGTCTCAGAAAAGTTGTGGCAAGAACTTTTGCGATAACATACATTCTTCGACTGTGTACACTGTTCGCTGCGAAATAAATTGATGCTGACGAGGAAACAACTCTGATTATTAATTTTCTGTAAACTATTGAGAGGTTTTGCAATATATTAGTATTTGCCAATTGATTGGTCGAGAAAAAGCGATAGGAACTCATGAAGCAGATATAAATGAGACTGAATCATATGAAATTCACAACAGGATTCTACACACATATCCTTTTGCCTTACTCACCTGTGCATAAGATCGTAGCGTTTCATGGGTGTTTCCAGTGTACCTGTTAGTGAAATGGCCGATGCATTGTTCACCAGGATGTCAATGCCCTTGAACTTATGCACCGCATCCTGCACAGCCTTCTCGACGTTAGCCTCATCTCTGATATCCACCTAGAAAGCACGACTCGACACATTAGTTGATACCTAAGTAAACAATAGTGGGGTTAAACCTAGTGCTGCCGTCATAAACAGGTGCAACGTTTGTTACTACTGACTATTATCATTTAGGAATTGTACCAGAGCCAATGACTGTTCCCCCGTTTGCTGTACTATTTAACAACTGGCCTGAAAGGTCATGGAAAGCACAGCCTATCTGATCCAGACATTGACGCTTCGATCAAGAGTTGAAGTATGGGAGATATAAATGGCAACGTATAAATCAAGCTCTGTGTCTAGTATATATATATCATCGAGTCAAAAGTGTTATAGCTTACTACCGAATATTACTTGCCAGCCAATGTTTGTGCGTCTTCGAGTAGAAGAAGCACGGAACGATGTAGACGATATAGAATAAAATATAACAACAGGCTATTTGAGGAATATAGCTACTACACTCCATGCTTCGACTTCTTGTGCAACGTTGTGCAGATATATTAGTACTGGAGTACGCATGCGCATCAAATGTAAGATTCCTCGCGCGTATCTGTCATTGTGAGACCTCTATACTCAGTGCCTGAGGATCGTATGGGCTTGCCAGGTGATATTGTACGTGCTGGGATACTTGTGCACATCAAACCGAAAACACTCGGAAAGGTTCTGTGGGATTGTAAGCTGATACTTTTTACACTGGAATATATTATGTACCACAAAGACAACAGCTACTAACGCTCACTCGGATAGATAAAAAGTCTACATCTAATGATTGGAGTACGTATGACCTTGTAAGCTGATATTCTTATCTTAGAGCAACACATTTATACAGTAGACGTAGGACATACACACAGTTACCTGCAAAGGCAAGGCCTCTACACCCAGTGCCTCGACTTCTTTTGCGACTGTAAATATCGTCCCAGGCAACTTAGGGTTCTCAGTGACCGATTTAGCAGCCACTACAATGTTGCATCCTTCACTGGCGAGTCTGAGCGCGATTGCCCGACCTATGAATAGTTTGCGAGGACGCCAAGGATTGAGTTGGTGCATATCATCTATACATTTTTCCAATGGCCGGGTGCCAATTGCACATATGCGATATAAACCGGCCGACGTGCTTTCAGCTCGTTGGCTTACACACATACCCATATATATATATATATATATATATATATATATATATATATATATATATATATATACTATACTACTACACACACACACACACATATATA